GGGTGCACTGCAGCGGAAGAAGGCCGGCGGCGGCGTGTCTTCGTGGACAAAGAGCTCCAGCAATGAGTAGAGGAACGATGACGTACAGCTCGATGGGTCGGCAACGGGCAACGTGGCGGCGACGGCGATGGCGAGAGAAGAGGAGAAAAATCAAATTTACTATACCAGGGATTTCCTAAACTAGAGGCCTTTTACAGTAGTTTTGGTGTGCTTTGTCCAAGGAGTTGGTATATATTTATTGGGAGAAAAACTCCCCACATCTACATCAACTAGCAATATGATATTAATTGATATTGAACCCTCCACATTAACTAATGGGCCTAAATAATCATTAAAACCCATTAGTAAATAAATGCATAGGCCCTAAGGATTTATTAGGATTATTGCATATGGGCTTTGAGCATTTGAAAAAATGAGAGATTTATTATTTTCGGAATTAATTATTTTTGTGGATAAAATAATTTTAGAAAAGTCTAGAATTATTATTTAAGCCGCGAAAAATACTTCGAAAGCTCTAAAAATTCGGGGAAAATTTCCAGAGACACTTTGGAATACGATGAACCCAAATAAAGTATTTGGAGCTCATAAAAATATTGTTGGGAACTTGAAACATAAATATTAAGGTGAAGGAGGTAGGAATTAAATTCCAGGAAGATGCTGGAAAATTCCTAGAGATAGATATTCGTCTCGTAAACGTATAAAAAAACTCACATTTTGCACATAGAAACACGAGGTGCGACCGGCATGAATGCAACAAACACGTTTCTACCTTATGATAAATTTTAAATTAGTGAAATTTTTTATTTTCCTATGTTTTCATGTGCACAAAAATTCACAAATAAATCATTTTAACTCCATTTTCAAAAGAGGCAAATTTTAGGGTGTTACAGTTCGTTTTCTGCCTCAATTTCAGATTTATGAATGATGTCCCTCAGAAAAGATATCTAGTTGTACAGATCTCAACATGCAACCGCAACCCATCATAATTCGCCAAGCTCAATGAGTATGCTACAGGAACAGGTGAAAAAATCGCTGGCTGCAACTCTTCTGTGTTGCCTTGTTTCCCCCTGTTTCTCTATCATAACAAAGAATCCCCTGTTTCAATCGTAGAGTTGGGCCTCACAAACCTACAAGCGGTGACCTCACTAACCTTGTTTGTTGCGACCGGAACTTGTTGGTGGCAATTTGCAGTAACTGTCCACGAGAACAAGATGCGCAAACTTTGCCAGGGTGTATTAACGTTCCTGTTGAGTGCAATTGGTTTGGATACTTGAGGCTCTCAAAAGGCAAATTCATTTGCATAGTTTTTAGTACATTGAATTGATTCCACATTTTGTATGGTCACATGGATGTTCAGTAGTCTATCCTGTTTGATTAAGCTCAGTTAAGGTGTAGGTTTTGTGCACGCATGCTGCTAACTTGGAGGTCTTCATAGCCTGCTAATTACTTCTTCTCAAGCACTTGTTAGTGCTGTGAATTATACTCTTTGTTTCCCTAAACCAAAAAAAAAACTTCTGTTTTCGTCTCACATTCAGATTCACCTCCCTGCAACATCCAACTCGTGAGCTAAGTTGCAACCGCTAAACTGAATCTGAGCACTGTTATGAGGGGTGTTTTGTGCACTCATTCTGCTAACTTGGACGTCATCATAACAAGCTCAATTTCTAGATCGTCTGCTGACATTAGTCGTGTGTTGCAGGGACAGTGGGAGTCCAGGAGATCTTGCCTTTGCCGAATGGTAGTGCAATAACGCACGGCCTGACGTTCCTGCAAGCGGCAGGCAACCAGCGACTTGGTTACGAACAATTGGAAGTCATGTGTTGCGATAAGTCATTTGGACGTCTGTAAAAAACCAAAAAGATGGTTGTTCCGGCAACATGCTTCTGTGGAGTAGTAGATAAGTTCTACACAGAGAGATTACATCTGTACATTTCTCACTAGTGATGTCTGCTCACGAAGAAGTACAAGTTAGCAGCAACCATGCACAAAACACACCTCATAATAATGCTCAGATTCTACCTGTACATTTTTTGTTTTGGTTGCCTGATCCTTTTGGGACTCATTGTTCCTCTGTTATTGTATTGTCCAGTCTAGATTTTTCATTTTTAATAAAATCAGCAGCTATATTGCTTGATTCAAAACAATATATTGCTTACTCTATGGGCACGGGGCACCAAAAATATTCAGCTTTGTGATTGCAACTCGTCTTGGATTTTTTTTTTCAGATTTCAGATTCTAGCACCGAAATATTGGTGCCATCTCATTTGCGAGTTGTGATAATTTCCCTAGTTCCTACTACATTGCATTTATTGCACAGTTTGTTCACAGTAGTCTACCCTTTTGACGAAAAAGGTAAAATTTGCGTTGATTTTCCAGCTTAGCTTGTGGCATTGGTCGTGTTGTGAGCTGGTGAGACGGCAGAGTCTGTTGCCTCTACGAAGCATGCTCTGTTTCAGCTGCTCTGAAGCATGCTCTGTTTCTAAAATCTGACTATGAACTTCTGTGCCCATGGCACCCTACACTCAAAATCTGGACTATGTACTGTGGATGAGGTAATTGGTCATTTGCCCAATAGTCAAAAACCGAATTAGGGGGCACCCTGTCCGCTCACATTGGGGTGCCATGTACTGTGGATGAGGTAATTGGTCATTTGCTCCAATAATCCAAAAGCACGAACGAGTTGGCCTCGTTTAGTTTCTCCCAAACTTTTAATTTGGCACTATGTAAAAAAGAAATTCTCCGTCACATCAAATTTGCGATACATGCATGGAATACTAAAAGTAGACGAAATTAAAAACTAATTGCACAGTTTGGCTGTACTTTGCGAGATGAACATTTTGAGCCTAATTAGTCAATGGTTGAACAATTATTACTAAATACAAACGAAACACTACAGTGACACTACAATATATTTTACCAACTTTACACATCTAAAGTTTGGCAACTAAACAAGGCCAGCTTTCTTTCTGGTGCCAGTGGCATCACTCACTGAGGCCAGTTAATTAATTATTCAGCTCATCACATCCGGAGAGGTTGCTTGGCGCAGCATAATTCTTAAGGTAACTGCGGAGTTGGTCTACTCCATCCGTAGAAAAAGGTGGGAGAGGGTGCCTTTTATTTATATTAGTATAGTACTATCAAGAAGAAAATCATATTTGTCGTAAACAATAAGTACTACCATAGGATTGGCCGGCATGGTTGGTGAATGCGGATGAACCGAGACAAAAGGAACGACAAGGACGGCTGATCAGAAGATGAATTCCTACTAGTAATACTAAGCTTGCGTTAATCTTATTCCTAATTAACAACTCCCTTAGTCCGTTTTATGCCTCTCCTCTGTTATTGCCTATTAGTCTCCTTTGTATCTTTAACTCCTCCAAGACAGATCCCGGAAACTTCAAATCAATTAGCTCCCAGCACTCATCATGTTCAAGTGGCAGTGTGCGATTTAGCAATTCTGTCGACCGCTGGATTCCAAAACCGGGAGGCGTTCCATACAAAGGTGTGTTTTTTTAAGCCTGGACTACTAAGGTGTACAACTGTAGTATCTGAACTAATGCTCAAACGCACTCACACACCTTCACACGTACCCCAAGAGTGTACGCTGGACCTATAAACTATACATACAACACGCGTCCTTCTAGATATAGATGAAGTCCCACGGGCTACGCAAGTGACGGGCGCACCGCAATACCATTGTGGCTCTATGCGTACGTCCAAGACTTGCAAATTTATTTCGAGTAAAGACCCCGGTGAGAAATCACGCGAACTCAGTGGCTGCCACACCGGAGCTACTGTTAGGTCCCAGGTGTGTCTTACTAGTAGGAAGATGCACTGCAGCTTGCATGGCGTGCATGATAAGTAGGAAGATTCGTTAATAAAGTCTTGTTTAGTTCGTGGGTGAAGTTTTTTTCTCTCCATCACATCAATTTTGAGATGTTTACATGGAGTATTAAATGTAGGTAAAAAATAACTCGGACAGTTTAGTTGGAAATCAAGATGAATCTTTTGAGTCTAGTTGGTCCACTGCGATTGGACAATATTTACCAAATAAGACGAAAGTGAGAATATATTCATCGGGTTCACTTTTTTTCAAAGTAATCGAGGTTATTAGTGGGTGAGTTTTTTGTGGGTTATCGGATGTTTTATGGGATATGGCTAAGGTGTATGGATAATTATTAAAAAAACTAATTATCTCGCGAATTTTCTAAGCATTACACATATGGGTTAATTAGCAATTATTTTAATCATAGACTAATTAGACTTAAAAGATTCGTCTCGCGGTTTCCAGTCAAACTTTGTAATTAGTTTTTTTTTAAACTGTATAATTAATTTTTTTATCTATATTTAATGGATCGGAGTGAAAAAATTTTAGGTGGGAACTAACACGCCAAAGCAGAAGATAGATGGAGTGGCGCTGGGCACCTGAAGAGGTCTTGACTTGCAAACACAAACAGCACGTGGGTGTCGCCATTGTGAGGTGCACATGTGACATGCCTAGTGGTTGGCTGCTGTGCATATATCTCTCTCTCTCATGTATTATTGGCATGCCATTCATCCCGTCGGACTTTTGGTCGTCCTCTTCAAGTTCGAAGCTAAGGAAGCAGAAGAACCAAGAAGTGAGCTGTGTCTGGCTTCCTGGGTGGCTACAGCAGGGCAGCTTCAAAAATCAAAATCAAGTGAGATCAATCGGGCCACGAGCACAGCTTGATCCAGCGTTTACTAGCGGCTCCACTCGCAACCGTCTGGTGAGCAGTGGGTCCCTAAAATTGATCTTGATCCATCTCCTTTTTTTTCACCAGATCAACTTCACATCGCACCATCATCGATTGAACTAGTTAGTCTTCAGCAGGTGCTTGGGCTCGCCGTGTCATTCACAAGCTGTTGCACTTTTCTCTTGTTCGCAATCCAGTGACTCCCCATGCCACCGTTTACTTTACTGCAGGTGAGCCGCAGACTCACGTCACTCACGCTAGCTTGTCCTGGACCAGGACAGATCCATGGAGATTGTGACGGGGGCACTGCCAAGCGTCATCACCAAGCTCGGCGAGCTGCTCGTTGGTGAGTACAATCTGCAGAAGTGGGTGAAGGGGGAGATCATGTTCCTCCAAGCTGAGCTTGAGAGCATGAAGGGTGCCCTTGAGAAGGTCTCCAGCACGCCACCAGACCGGCTTGATGTCCAGGACAAGATGTGGGCCAGGAATTTGAGGGAGCTCTCTTATGACATAGAGGACAATATCGACACATTCATGGTGCGTGGGAAGGGTGATGAGTCAGCCAAGCTGCATGGCGTCAGGAAGTTCATTGATAGAAGTGTCGGTTTGTTTAGAAAGGTTAGGATTCGCCATGAGATTGGTACTGAGATAAGTGACATCAAGAAGCGTGTCCTAGAGGTGCACGAGAGGCATCGTAGATATGATATTGATATGTTTGTTGATAAGCCAACCACACATACTTTGGTGGACCCTCGTTTATTTGCTCACTACACAGAGGCGAAGGAGCTTGTCGGAATTGATGACACAAGGGATGAGCTAATCAAGGTACTGATGGATGGGAATGGAGTGCCCTTTCAGCAAGGCAAAATAGTTTCCATTATAGGATTTGGGGGCCTCGGAAAGACGACTCTTGCCAAAGCAGTGTTTGAGAAGATTAGAGCACTATTTGATTGTTGTGCTTTTGTTTCGGTGTCCCAAACCCCTGACTTGAAGAAGTTATTCAAGGGATTGCTGTATGATCTTAGCAAGATCAATGAAGAAACATTGGATGAGAAGCGGCTCATCGACGTAGTCAGAGAATTCCTTAAGACGAAAAGGTATGGAAGCATTCCAGCCATCCATTTGTACATATGAAGTTTTATTTTACACCTTCCGTTTCATAAAAGTACGTATATGTGCGAATACAAGGATGATACGTGCCATTTCGTTCATTTTGTGATGAGTGATTGTCAACGTGATCCACAAACCTGTGATTTTGGAGTGAGAATGGAGCCCTGGGCGCTTCCGCGCACGGAAACCACCGGTCTTGAGCCGAGCAGACACCGGTCCCGTGCGCCTCCTACCGCACAGCGCTGAGCGCTCAAGGCACCGAGCGGCCCAGGTGAGCGCTCGTCCACCGCTCTGCAGCAGGCCTGCTGCCCCCGCTGTAGCCCCTGCTGATTCGAGCACCGAGCTGCTTGGTGTGCACCAGCGCTGCAACACCGGTCAGGAGACCGGAGCCGATCTGTGCAGGCGGGTTCAGTTTGTGCTCGCTTGGCTTTTGGCGGTGAGCAGTATCCTCCGCTAGCTGCTTCTCTGTCGCATATCGACAGCCTCAGGCAGCTCTGTCCAGTGTCAAGGGCTTGCTCGACCTGTTGGTCTCCAGGAAATCAAAGTTTTTGAGATGTCTCTTTCAGGCAACAGTGAAACAATCATTACTTCCTACATAGTGATCGGTTGTCTAGCTTTGTTTGATTTTCTTGCAGTTAATCTGTAGTTCGTTTGCTTGTTGTTTTGTTTGGGATTCCGATCTATAATCTCCGAGCTCGCTATTTCATCTGCAGTTTGCGCGTTTGAACTTGGATTCGTGTTCTATCTTTTGCGTTGGCTTTGTGATGTCCTACTGTGTTTCTAGGGAGCATCCACCCACCCGTTTGGGTCGTGGATATCACGGTGGTTGCTTCACGTGTTTGGCGGTGATTTTGGGACAACGGCCAAAAGTTTCACGAGAAAATTTACGGCTCCCATTCACCCTCCCTCTAGTCGCCGTTTTCGGTCCTTCCGTATGCACATGATAAGTGAGAACATTTCCCTGCTTGTCCTGGTAAAATAAAAATAATATACAACCATTTAAGCTTTTTCACATCGTTATTGAGTGGAAATGAAATAGCAGCGACAACAATTTTCTTTTCCTAAGTGGAATTTTTTTTTATTTTGCAAAGATATATATTTATGGAAAAATTTTGTTTACATACATGTTTATCCAATTGGACCTAACTATCTCAGTTTAAGCTATTTGTAGCTTAATCCAATTGATTGTAATTATATTTCCGTCCTAGGTTAGTTTTTACTGATAATTTAATGCATGTATAGGTATCTCATAGTTATGGATGACATATGGGATATATCAGTCTGGAAAGTGATCAAATGTGCTTTGCCTGATAATGATGTTGGATATATAGTTATTACAACTACACGTAATGCTGATGTTGCTGAAAATGTTGGTGGTGCTTACAAGGTGAAAGCCCTTTCTGAGAATAACTCGAGGAAACTACTGTACAAGCGAGTATTTGGTATTGACAATGTTGATGACACAGAAAAATGCCCTGTAGAGGAGCTGGCCGAAGTATCTGATAGAATACTAAACAAATGTGCCGGTGTACCCTTGGCTATTATTACGATGGCTAGTCTGCTAGCTTGTAAAGCAAGGAATAAGATGGATTGGTATGAGGTGTACCGTTCCATTGGTACCGGTCTCGAGAACAATCTTGATGTGGAGAATATGAGAAAGATTTTGTCATTTAGCTATTATAATATGCCATCTCATCTGAAGACATGCTTATTATACTTCAGTATGTTTCCTGAAGATTATATAATAGAAAAAGATCATTTGATATGGATGTGGATAGCCGAAGGCTTTATCCAGTCTGAGAAACAAGGAAAGAGCCTGTTTGGACGCGGAGAGAGTTATTTCAATGAGCTCATAAACAGGAGTATGATCCAACCCATATATAGCCTAAGTTACACTGTATATGGATGTCGTGTACATGACATGGTGCTTGATCTTATCTGCTCCTTGTCAAGTGAAGCAAACTTGGTTACTGTATTAAATGGCAAGGACCAAATGCCTCCATCAAGTAAGTTCCGGAGGCTATCCATTCAAAACGGCAAAGATGACGATTCTATGACTCTGACACATAGGAGCTTGCAACAAGTAAGGTCAGTTGTTGTCGTGCCATCAGCCTCTGGTATAATACCAGTCCTCCAGAGTTTCCAAGTTTTACGTGTGATGGATTTACGAGGTTGTGATCTTTCACAAGGTTACAACCTTAATAAGTTCCTTGGGAATCTATTTCACTTGAGGTACCTAGGACTAGGTAACACAAGCATTGTGGAGCTACCTGAAGAAATAGGGAACTTGCAATTTCTACAGATACTGGACATTTGGGAAAATGAAATTTCTTGCTTGCCATCAAATGTTGTTCAGCTCAAACAATTGATGTGCCTGAACATCGACCTATCAACGAGAGTGCCGAATGGTATTGGGAGCCTGACAAGCCTTGAAAAGCTATCACGTTTAAGCCTCGATGAATCCAACATGGACATTATAGAGGAGTTGGGTCAGCTAACAGAACTTAGGGTACTCCATATTTCATTGGATGAATGGAACCACAAGCTGGTCGAGTGCCTACACAAGCTGCAAAAGATCCAAGAACTCACTATCTGGGTCCAGGGTGGTCAAACGAACATTGGTGGATTGGATGGCTGGGTCGCCCCTCGAAGTCTCTGTAATCTGGATACACGAGAGTGCTGCTGGTTCTCAAGGCTACCGGCATGGTTGAATCCGTCACTTGTGCCGGGTCTCTCGGAGCTCTCCATCTCCGTAAGGGAGGTACAGCAGGCCGACCTCGACATCCTCGGCAAGTTGCCTGCTCTCCGCTCTCTAAGTCTGTTTGTGTACCGTGAGGATTTCGGAATCCTTGTGGGGTTCGTCGTTGGTTCTGGTTCATTTGCATGCCTGAGATACTGCGCGTTCATGGGATTCGTGGGGCCTGTAGTGTTGCAGCATGGAGCTATGCCGAGGCTGAGAGTCTTCAAGTTACAGATGTCTGCGCGAGGGGCGAGAGAAATCGCCAGCAGCTATGGTAGTGGTCTTGACTTAGGCCTAGGGAACCTTGCTTCGCTCCAGTGGTTTTTGGTTTATTTGGATTGTGCAGCCGCTACCGATGAGGAGGTGGAGGAATTTGAGGCTGCGCTGAGGCATGCCACTAAAATCCATCCCAATCATCCGTACGTTGGTATAAACGGGAAACGAATTGAGGGCACAGGTTTGTTACACTACCTACCGTAGTTCAACTCAAACATCCATTGATCCAATCATCCTTTAATTTCGCTGTTTCCCCTTTCTTCTAAAATTGTTTTCTTCTGCTTCTGTTTCTGTTTCAGATGAGCATTGATGGATTGCGAATAGGATTTCTAATTGTTCAGCTGTAAAGCCACATCCGAATCAGCAAATCCTTTGAGGTGGGCGTGGGTCACATAAAAGAGGTTTCATTCCGTGTTGTATCAGCTTGTTGTCTGCTTTGCACCGCTGTAATCCAGCAGAAACTGTGTGCAATCACTACACTAGAATCTGCCCGTGCGTTCCAGCTGTGCAGGAGTTTCACTACTGTTTACAGAAGCAGAAATTATCACTAACAATTTATAGAAAAAACTATCAAGAGTTATGACACCGAATTAGCATCATTTAATAAACCAAAATTATATTTTTCATAATATATTTATTTGGTGTCATAAAAATTTATATTCTTTTAAAAAAAAATGATCAAATATAAAATAAGACAACTTTTTTGAAGAGTGAAAAAAAAGATAACTTAAAACAACTTTACGAATAGAGCGAGTAAAACACTCCTTCAGGTTACCCAGCCACAATGGCATTAGAAGCCATAAAAAACTGAAATAAACATGCCCTTAGTCTATTTTGTCATAGGCAAGTTATAAGTTGTACAAATTACGATATAAAGTGTTCACATACTTAGCCTTTTGATCAACACAAACCCACGCTCTGTTTCGGTCTGCTCTGAAACTGCAAACAACGGAATGGATAGGATATATAGGACGTGGGCGCTGTCGCAATTCTACAGCTTGTTTATCCTTTGAAAAATGACGTCTAACTTTTTTTGATACTTAACTTGGCTCTAGGGGCTTACATATCCAGGGAGGGGGTCCGTCCACACCTCGGACTGACCCGGGTCCCAACCCACACCTCTCCTATCAAGACCATGAGCAACAAAGTTACAAACTCTCGAAATATTATAGATAGAATCACAACTGAAATGATCAAACAAACTATCCTGAAGATCTCTGAAGAGTCCCCCACCTATCGCTAGGTCCCTGGAGGAAGACGTTAGGGCTTCTTTCAGTTGGACTGAACCTGTCTCCCCTACAATCTGAGATATGCCAAAGTATGCTGCAGCTTCTAGCGCATGCTTGCACGCAAATGCTTCCGCCAAGAGAGCGTTGTGGATCGTCTCAAGTCTGCCGGCACCAGCAAGGACCAGGTGCCCTTCATGGTCGCGTACAATGAAGCCCCATGCCCTAGCATTTGTTCCCTGCAAGAATGCACCGTCGAAATTAATCTTGAGGCACCCCCTAGCAGGAGGGCACCACTTCGGCTGCTGAATGACAACCGGTGATTCATGTCAAGCACCCATCTCCTCAATATCGGCTACCATAGATAGAACAGCTTGCGCCGTTTGTTGACATGTAGGCATAAGCTCTCCTGCATTCACTTTGTTTCACACTTCCCACCACCTCCACAGCAACACAGCCACCCTAAGACATACATCACGTCTCAGGTTTAGCACATCACGCGCAAAAGTCTTCCGAGGACTCTGATTCCAGCAAGTCCGCCCATTCCTTCTCTAGATGAAGCTCTCTCCAGCGTGCCGCATCGGCTTGCACTTCAAGAAACAGTGCCCCCCGTCTTCATCATATCGGTAGCAAATCGGGCACCGTGTATCCAAAGCAACAGCGTCTACTTATGTTCAGTTTGAAACCGAGGCTATTATGCGCCACCCGTGTAACACCCAAAAATTTGACCTAGTTTAAAAGTCACTCAAAATTTGAACTTTTTAAAACTTTGCTTAGGACCCAACACATAATTAACTAACTTAGGAAATAATATAAATAGGTCAACATAGAACCAAAATAATATGAGTAGAATTGAGTGCTTGATTGCTTGCTTGTTGAACTTATGGTGGTACACTTTTGCATACTCATGCATACAAATTTGAAATCAAAATCATTTAAACACATGCATATATAATTATAGAAAAGCCACTTGGGCTCAATCTCTCTCCCTCTCTCTCACTCGGCCCGCAGCAGCAGCAGCCCATCTCCCTCTCTCCCTCCTCCCCGCGTGGGCTGGCCCAACCAGCGCAGCAGCAGCCGCAGCCCAGCGCTCGGCCCAGCCTCGCCCGCGCCCTTCCCTTCTCCCCCTCTCTCTCACCGACGCCTGGCCCCTCTCATCAGCTTCGTCATCTACCTCACGGCCGGCAGCCGTACGCAACACAGCTGCGCGTCAACGCCCCGCCCCGCTCCACCTTGGTGCCAGCGAAGGTAAACGGTGACACAATGAGACCACGGGGCCCCACGGTGCCCCTCTTTTCTCCTCTTCTCCCCTCTCCTCCCTCACTGTGAACTCATCAACGTCGACGCCATGGTCGCCCCCGCGCCGAGCCATCAGAGTAGCCGCCAAGGCACCTCGTCGTGCGCTTGAGCAAGCACCAGCTGTGGCGAATTGACCTGACAAGGTCAACCACGAGCGCGCGTGGTGGATAAGAGCGGCCTATAAATATCTCGCCGCCGAGAACTGACCTAGCCGGCCTATAAATAGGCCCGGCCGGCGACGCTCTCGCCTCGCCCTCTCCACCATCAGCTCCGCCGAGGGCGGGAACACACCATCTCCCCCTCTGTTTCCCCTTTCCCCTCCTCCTTTCCATCTTCTTCCATTTTCCCCCAAATCGGGAGTTCGCCGGTGCCATAGGTGTCGCCTCCCCTCTTCTCCTTCCCCGCTGCGTCCTTGGCTGATTGGAGTGACCGGTGAGTTCAAGAGCCCCTTCTGTATCTCCTTTGCTAGCTAGCTAGTCATTTCTGTCTGTGTGTTGCGCTGCCACCATGCGCCCTGCTCCGCCGAGCCGCCATGGCCATCGACCATCGCCGGCGAGGCCACCCAGGGCACCACACCACCTCCACCACACTTACCACTCACCCGCACTCACGTACACGTTAACGGCTGTGACGGTAGAGGCTCGTATGGCCGGGTTCGCTGCGCAGCACCGCCACGTTCCCTCCGGCGAGCCGCCACCGCTGCAGCGGGCACCCATTGCCGACGGCAACCCCGCCATCGGCAGCGGCGCGACTCCGCGAGCACCGTACACCCATCACCCGCCACCACCAAGGGCCGACGCTACCAGCGTGACCAACTCCGGCGAGCCGGGCCTCCCTTCCCCTGTTCCGCCATCACTGTGGTCACCCCCGTCCGTCGCCGTCTCCCTCTCTCCGCTTCCCTGTCTCTGCCATGTGGGCTAGGCGCGTGACGGTGTTGCCGTTACCGTCGGCACCTCGTCTGTCCCTCCCTCTCTCTCCCTCTTTCACCGACATGTGGGCCCATGGTCATGACGTCGCTGCCGCCGTCTTCGCTGATGCGGTAGGATGGCCCACCTGCCATCCGCACACACACACACACACACACCACACAGCGTGGGGTACGCATTAGAAAACGCTGGGTACACCCGGCTAGTATACACAGAGAGCTGAAAACACATTTTCCTAGCTTAGAAAAATTCCTAGAAAATTTGTAAATAAACTAGATGCATTAGGGAATTTAATCATGTAGTTTGCCCATATTTTCATGAACCAAAAAATGCATATAAATTTCTACCTAGAAAAATAGCTATAGAATAAACTTCTAAAATATATAACTTTTAAACCCTAACTCCTTTTTACATGAAACCACTTCTAAAATTTATCTAAAATCTAGCTCTATCATTTGCACCTAGTACCACCGTACTGTTCTCTGTTTGCTTTTGCCTTTTCTTTTATGGTTAGCCGTAGTCTTATTTCGATCGATACGCCCGACAGACGACGGTGATAGTTAGAAGGACGAGGACCCAGATTTCGTTGATGTGCCGGAAGGTGACAACGACAAAGGCAAGTCCAAGCTCCTCTCTCTACCATCTTTCTTTAATCACTAAAATGTTTAAACCATGACTAAGGTTATTAGTCTAGAATATGAGCTCGGTTATTGTGATATGATTATTGTTGAATAAAGATAAATGGTTATCTTATTAAATTATGAGCTCCACAATATGAATGAACTTAGGGATAATATTGAACTTAAAATTGGTAAACCTGAAACTAAACCCCGATAGGGGGCGAGTGGTGGTAAACTATGGAGGTAGTTTACCATGGCAGGGATGTCTAGAGAGGATTCCTGTGGGAGATACTCACCTTAGTCACATAAGGACCGGTTCGTAGTCCCTCTCGCCTAGTGAGATATTACATACAGACACATGTCTATATGGGTAGGCTTGATCTCACACCCCGTTAGATAGAAGTATAATTTATACTAGGAAGCCAGTGTAGGCAGCGGAATAACAGGAGCAGACACGGGGGATAGGTTTTCTTCTGTGGTCCAGTTGACGTGGATGCTATGTGATCTTCCACGTTAAGCTTTTGAGATTTTAGCCGCGTTTGAGCCCATGATTTTTGTTTTGGCCGTGTTCGAGCCATGTTATTTGTTGTGATGATTAGTTATCATCATGTTGGGAAGATTAGGTATCTTCCTGGAATTTGTGTGTTTCCAACCCCTGAGAAGCCGTAGTAGAGTTATATAGATATCTAAGGCCACGTACATTCGGGTACAGGGTCTCGTTAGGTTTATTTCGTCCACTGATCATGGATGAGGTTGCACCTATCATGTGGGGAAATTTGTACACCTCTGCAGAGTTTAGTAAACCTATTCGAATAGCCATATCCTTGGAATGGGCACATGCTAGGATGGGATACTATGATTAAATTTACTTTTATATGTAATGAAACTGATAATGGAATTGATGCTAACCTGGGACTAGTGGGAATGGTAATGCTTCGCTAGGATCCAAACTTTAATTATAAACACCACTACACTTCTATTTCCACCATATGGTTAGGGCTTGCTGAGTACGTATGTACTCACCCGTTGTTGACCCACAAACTTCGGCACGGAAGAAGACTATGACTTCGACGAGGAGAACGTACCACGAGGATTAGGAGTCACACAAGGAAATACATTTGTAGGAGTATGACATCGAGGCTAGGGTTTCGACCGCGCTCAAGTCGGCTGTGGAATAGGACACCGCTTCGCTGTATAATAATCCCGCTCTTGAGACCACTAGGAATAATGCCATTTCAC